ATTCCATCCTTTTCCCAAAAACTCTGTCCTTTCCCCTAAAAATCCATCATTTTCCCCCAAAATTCTGTCGTTTTCCTCCAAAATTCCATCCTTTTCCCTCCAAAATTCCATAATTTTCTCATAAATTCCATCATTTTCCCAAAATTTCATCCTTTTCCCTCCAAAATTCCATAATTTTTCCCCAAAAATTCCATCATTTCCCCCAAAATTCCATCATTTTCCCAAAAATTCCAATGATTTCCCCCAAAATCCAGTCCTATTTCCCAAAATTCCATAATTTTCCCCCAAAATTCCATCATTTTCCCAAAAATTCTGTTATTTTCCCCCAAAATTTCATCCTTTCCCTCCAAAATTCCCATCATTTTCCCCAAAATTCCCGTCTTTTTCCCCAAAATTCCATCCCTTCCCTTCAAAATTCCATCATTTTCCCAAAATTCCATCATTTTCCCCCAAAATTCCGTCATATCCCCAAAAATTCTGTTATTTTCCCCCAAAATTTCATCCTTTCCCTCCAAAATTCCATCATTTTCCCAAAAATTCCCATCATTTTCCCAAAATTCCATCATTTTTCCCCAAAATTCCATAATTTTTCCCAAAAATTCCATCATTTCCCAAAAAATTCTGTTATTTTCCCCCAAAATTCCATCATTTTCCCTCCAAAATTCCATCATTTTCCCAAAAATTCCATCATTTTCCCCAAAATTCGATCCTTTCCCTCCAAAATTCCATATTTTTCCCTCCAAAATTCCATCGTTTTTCCCCAAAATTCCACATTTTTCCCCAAATTTCATCCTTTTCCCTCCAAAATTCCATCCTTTTCCCGAAATTCCATCATTTTCCCAAATTCCCGTCCTTTTCCCCTCTTTTTTTTGGGTTCGTTCCCACCCGAACCCGGAGTTTTTCACTTTTGACCATTTTTGGCCGCTTTTCCCCCAAAATTCCCAATTTTTTCCTTCTCTTTTTTCTCGGGAATTTCTCTCTCCGGGAAGGAATTTCACCTTTTTGGCCGATTTTTCCCCCAAAATTTCCGCTTTTCCCGCTTTTTTTTGGGCGCTCCCGACGCTCCTGCTCCTCCCCCGCCTTTGTCCCGCCGCCGCTTTCAGCTTTGACCCAAAATGTCCCCAAATGTCCTCAAATGTCCCCAAATGTCCCCAAAATGTCCCAAAATGTCCTCAAATGTCCCCAAAAGGTCCTCAAATGTCCCCAAAAGGTCCCAAAATGTCCTCAAATGTCCTCAAATGTCCCCAAAATGTCCCAAAACTTCCTCAAATGTCCCCAAAATGTCCAAAATGTCCTCAAATGTCCTCAAATGTCCCCAAAATGTCCCAAAATGTCCCAAAATGTCCTCAAATGTCCCCAAAAGGTCCCAAAATGTCCTCAAATGTCCCCAAAAGGTCCCAAAATGTCCTCAAATGTCCTCAAATGTCCCCAAAAGGTCCCAAAATGTCCTCAAATGTCCCCAAAAGGTCCCAAAATGTCCTCAAATGTCCTCAAATGCCCCCAAAATGTCCCAAAATGTCCCAAAACTTCCTCAAATGTCCCCAAAATGTCCCAAAATGTCCCCAAAATGTCCCTAAAAGTCCCCAAAATGTCCCAAAGTGTCCCAAAATGTCTCCAAATGTCCCAAAATGTCCTCAAATGTCCCCAAAATGTCCAAAATGTCCTCAAATGTCCTCAAAATGTCCCAAAATGTCCCAAAACGTCCTCAAATATCCCAAAACATCTAAAAATGTCCCCAAAATGTCCCCAAAATGTCCTCAAATGTCCCCAAATGTCCCCAGAACATCTCCAGGTGTCCCAAAATGTCCCCAAAACATCTCAAAATGTCCCCAAATGTCCTCAAATGTCCCGGAAATGTCCCCAAAACCTCTCCAGATGTCCCCAAAACATCTCCAGATGTTCTCAAATGTCCCCAAATGTCCCGGAAATGTCCCCAGAACATCTCCAGATGTCCCGAAATGTCCCCAAAACCTCTCCAGACGTCCCCCAAACATCTCCAGACGTCCCCAGAACCTCTCCAGCTGTCCCCAAATGTCCCCAAAACCTCTCCAGACGTCCCCAAACGTCTCCAGACGTCCCCAGAACCTCTCCAGCTGTCCCCAAAGCCCTCTGGGTGCCGTTTTTGTGTCGCAGAGCTGCTCTTCGGCCAGTCCCGCGCCCCTCCCCGCCAGGTGAACGCCGTCCTGGGCGGCTCCGTGCTGCTGGCGCCTCAACCTGGAGCTCCCAAAACATCTCAAAATGTCCCCAAATGTCCCCAAAACATCCCCAAATGTCCCCAAATGTCCTCAAATGTCCCTAAATGTCCCCAGAACATCTCCAGATGTCTCAAAATGTCCCAAAATGTCCCCAAAACATCTCCAGGTGTCCCCAAATGTCCCCCAAACATCTCCAGATGTTCTCAAATGTCCCGGAAATGTCCCCAGAACATCTCCAGGTGTCCCGAAACACCCCCAAACCCTCTCCAGACGTCCCCAGAACAGCTCCAGGTGTCCCGAAACACCCCCAAACCCTCTCCAGACGTCCCCAGAACAGCTCCAGGTGTCCCGAAACACCCCCAAACCCTCTCCAGACGTCCCCAGAACAGCTCCAGGTGTCCCGAAACACCCCCAAACCCTCTCCAGACGTCCCCAGAACAGCTCCAGGTGTCCCGAAACACCCCCAAACCCTCTCCAGACGTCCCCAGAACAGCTCCAGGTGTCCCGAAACACCCCCAAACCCTCTCCAGACGTCCCCAGAACAGCTCCAGGTGTCCCGAAACACCCCCAAACCCTCTCCAGACGTCCCCAGAACATCTCCAGGTGTCCCGAAACATCCCCAAAACCTCTCCAGACGTCCCCAAACATCTCCAGACGTCCCCAGAACATCTCCAGGTGTCCCGAAATGTCCCCAAAACCTCTCCAGACGTCCCCAGAACATCTCCAGCTGTCCCCAAATGTCCCCAAAACGTCTCCAGACGTCCCCAGAACATCTCCAGCTGTCCCCAGAACATCTCCAGGTGTCCCGAAATGTCCCCAAAACATCTCCAGACGTCCCCAGAACCTCTCCAGCTGTCCCCAAAGCCCTCTGGGTGCCGTTTTTGTGTCGCAGAGCTGCTCTTCGGCCAGTCCCGCGCCCCTCCCCGCCAGGTGAACGCCGTCCTGGGCGGCTCCGTGCTGCTGGCGCCGGCGCTGCCGCCCAACCAGACGGTGAAGGAGATCGAGTGGAGCTTCTCGGGCGGCTCCGGTGCCACCATCCAGGTGGCCGAGGTGGGACCCGCGGGCTTCGAGCGGCCGGACCCGCGGGATCGCTTCGGGAAGCGGCTGGAGGTGTTCAACCGCACGGCGCTGCGCATCCGCCAGCTGCAGCGCGGCGACAGCGGCGTCTTCGGAGCCAGGATCAAGATGCAGCCGGCGCTGGTGGACGATCAGTCCTTCAACCTGTCCGTCTACGGTGAGTGGGGCTTCGTTAATTGATTAATTTAATTAATTAGTTTGATTTCGCTTAATTGAAGTTGGGTTTTGGGTGGGGAAACTGAGGCAGGGATCGGCCATGGGGTCGCAGCCGGGGCTGGGGGACGATCAGTCCTTCAATCTGTCCGTCTACGGTGAGAGGGGCTTGGTTAATTTGTTAATTTAATTAATTTGGTTAATTAATTAAATTAATTAATTTAATAAGGTTGGGTTTGGGGTGGGGAAACTGAGGCAGGGATCGGCCATGGGGTCGCAGCCGGCGCTGGGGGACGATCAGTCCTTCAACCTGTCCGTCTGTGGTGAGAGAGGCTTCATTAATTCGTTAATTTAATTAATTAGAATTAATTTAGTTTATTTAGATTTAATTTCGCTTAATTGAAGTTGGGTTTTGGGTGGGGAAACTGAGGCAGGGATCGGCCATGGGGTCGCAGCCGGGGCTGGGGGACGATCAGTCCTTCAACCTGTCCGTCTACGGTGAGAGGGGCTTGGTTAATTGATTAATTAATTAATTAGGTTCATTAATTAAATTAATTCCTTTAATGAGGTTGGGTTTTGGGTGGGGAAACTGAGGCACGGATCGGCCATGGGGTCGCAGCCGGGGCTGGGGGACGATCAGTCCTTCAACCTGTCCGTCTGTGGTGAGAGAGGCTTCATTAATTCGTTAATTTAATTAATTAGAATTAATTTAGTTTATTTAGATTTAATTTAGTTTAATTGAAGTTGGGTTTTGGGTGGGGAAACTGAGGCATGGGGGACGATCAGTCCTTCAACCTGTCCGTCTACGGTGAGTGGGGCTTGATTAATTCATTAATTATCTCTTTTAATTAATTAAATGGCAGCTGGGGGTCATCAAAGTGGCACCAAGGTGACCCCGAGGTGGCATCACCGCTGTGCCCGGTGACAATCAGTGCCCCAAACTCGGGTTTTGGTGTCCTGGTGCCACCTGGATGCCATGGAGGTGTCACCCGAGTGTCACCCGGGTACCACGGCGGTGTCACCCGAGTGTCACCGCGGTGTCACCGCGCCGCGCCCGGTGACAATCAGTGCCCCAAACTCGGGTTTTGGTGTCCTGGTGTCACCTGGATGCCATGGAGGTGTCACCCGAGTGTCACCGCGGTGTCACCGCACTGTGCCCAGTGACACCCAGTGTCACCCGAGTGTCACCGCGGCGTCACTGCACTGTGCCCGGTGACAATCAGTGCCCCAAACTCGGGTTTTGGTGTCCTGGTGTCACCTGGATGCCATGGAGGTGTCACCCGAGTGTCACCGGGGTGTCACCGCACTGTGCCCAGTGACCCCCAGTGTCACCCGAGTGTCACCGCGGTGTCACCACTGCCAGAGCCGGTGCCCAGCGCCCCAAACTCGGGTTTTGGGGGTCCTGGGTGCCATGGGGGTGTCACAGGGGTGTCACCCGGGTACCACGGCGGTGTCACCCGAGTGTCACCGCGCTGTCCCCGCTGCCAGAGTCGGTGCCCAGCCCCCGGACGCGCAGCCGGCTCCTGGCCAGCACCCTGGAGTGGTGCAACCTCACCCTGCAGTGCCAGGGCAGCGGCAGCGGCGCCGTCAACGTCACCTGGAGACGCGACAGCGCGGCCGAGGGGGACCCCGGGGGTCGCCGGGTGTCGCCGGACGGCGCCGGGCGGCACCAGGTGTCACCCGACGGGACCACCCTGCGCGTGGCGCTGCCGCTGGCCGCCACCAACGTCACCTACGCCTGCACCGTCAGCAACCCCGCGGATCAGAAGGTGGCCGTGTTCGACCTGCAGGAGCTGTGCCGGGGAGGAGGTGAGAGCCTTCGGCGGCATCCTCATCATCCTCGGCGTTGTCCTTGGCGTCATCCTCATCATCCTCATCCTCATTATCCCCATCCTCATCATCCTCGGCGTTGTCCTTGTCGTCATCCTCATCATCCTCATCATCCTCATCATCCTCATTATCCCCATCCTCATCATCCTCATCCTCATTATCCCCATCCTCATCATCCTCGGCGTTGTCCTCGTCATCCTCATCATCATCATCCTCATCCTCATTATCCCCATCCTCATCATCCTCATCATCCTCATCATCCTCATCCTCATCCTCGTCATCATCCTCATCATCCTCATCATCCCCATCCTCATCATCCTCGGCGCTGTCCTCATCATCCTCATCATCGTCATCCTCATCATCCTCAGCATTGTCATTGTCCTTGTCATCCTCATCATCATCGTCATCCTTGTCCTTGTCATCCTCATCCTCGTCATCATCCTCATCATCCTCGGTGTTGTCATCGTAATCCTCGTCATCGTCATCCTCATCATCCCCATCCTCCTCATCCTCGTCGTCACCCTCATCCTTGTCCTTGTCCTCCTCATCATCATCGGCATTGTCATCCTCATCCTCATCCTTGTCATCCTCATCACCGTTATCCTTGTCATCGTCATCTTCATCCTCATCATCCCCATCCTCCTCATCCTCAGCATTGTCATTGTCATCCTCGTCATCCTCATCCTCGTCATCATCCTCGTCATCATCACCTTCATCCTCATCCTTGTCCTCGTCATCCTCATCCTCATCCTCGTCATCATCCTCATCATCATCACCTTCATCCTCATCCTTGTCCTTGTCATCCTCGTCATCATCACCTTCATCCTCATCCTCATCCTCGTCATCATCCTCGTCATCATCCTTGTCCTCGTCATCCTCATCCTCATCCTCGTCATCATCCTCGTCATCATCACCTTCATCCTCATCCTTGTCCTTGTCATCCTCATCCCCACCCTCATCATCCTCGTCCTCATCATTGTCATGGGGAAGGTGACACACCCAGGGTGACACAGATGAAGGTGACACACTCAGGGTGACACACTCACGGTTACACAGGGTGACACAATCAGGGTGACACACTCACGGTTACACAGGGTGACACAATCAGGGTGACACACTCAGGGTGACAGACGGTGACACACTCAGGGTGACACAGATGAAGGTGACACACTCAGGGTGACACACTCACGGTTACACAGGGTGACACAATCAGGGTGACACA